AGAAGATCTGGATAAGGCATTATGGTATTGTTCACTGGATATGGCCAGTGGCTTCTGGATCGTGCCCATGACGGATCGGGCTCGCGAGATCTCAGCATTTATCACCCCGTTTGGATTGTTCGAATGGAGTCGCATGCCATTTGGTCTGGAAAATTCCCCGCAGATTTATCAACGCCTCGTAGACAACGCGTTGTATGGATTCCTGAACACCTCGCGATCAGGCGATGCTGGAACTACAACGGACGTGTTTCAGACAGGGATCGCGGACGATCCTGATCGGGACTCAGTGTTGGAACGGAGATCATACATTGACGACATCATGATCGCAGCAGAATCATGGGATCAAATGTGCCAAAGGGCGGAAGATCTGTTGGAGGCCTACGATAAGTGGAATTTATCGATCAGTGTAGCCAAGAGCTTTGGGGGCATGGATAATGTAGGATATCTGGGACACCGAGTGTCGATCGGGGGTCTGGAGGCGAAGCCAAAAGATCTGAAATCCCTGGCCGATCTATCATTCCCCGGATCACTTCGATCTATGCAGTCGTTCCTGGGTAGTTTGAATTACTACAGCCGATTCATTGAAGACTACGCTATCTACGCTTCGGTGCTCTATGAGTTGCGCAAGGTGGAGTTTGCAGAACTGGAGAAACGATCGGATCTGAGGAAGATCATGGACCAGAACGACCCGATTGTTCGAGATCACGGTCCACCGGAACTGCAGTTGGGGGAATCGGTAGACGAGAGGTGGATCAGGGCGCATAGGGCCTTCACCACTCTGAAAACCTAGATCGCGACTACCACAATACTCAGCCACTTCGACGAGACAAGAACGCCGGTAGTTATCGTATATGCCAGTGATTGGGTGATATCCACTTCGTTGACGCAAGAACACGACGGGATCTACCATCCGGTTGCGTTCGCCAGCCGCACCTTGAAGGCGAACGAGTTGAATTACAATGTGACCGAAAAGAAGGTGTTCGCACTGCGGAGGATCTTGGATCTCTATTACAATTTGCTAGTAGGACGCGAGATCCGAGTCCTGACGAGGCATTCTACGTTGGCCTGGCTGTTCAAGTCGACGGGGTTGCAGGGTCGCCTGGGACAATGGTCTGCCCTCCTGGCCCCATGGACACTTGAGATCACGAAGTGCACGAAGGGTGAAGATGAGATACTGGGGGTGATCGCTGCTAGCATCACGCCGAGGGCGAAGATCGACGACGCACTGACCGAAATCGCTCCCCGGAAGGAACCTAAACGCCGGATCCAAGCTCCGATACCCACCGTAGATCGAGAAGAGGAATTATGGGTTGTCAATTTTGACGGACCCGCTCAAGTGAAGCGTGGCGGGGGCGCGTTCAGCGCGATCGTGTGGAGACTCCCCGGATGGGAGGTGGTCAAAGCTAGATCGGGCTATCTCGAGAGCCTCACCGTGAACGAAGCAGAATATAACGGCCTGATCCTGGGACTCGACATGCTAGAGAACCTAGATCACAAACGTCTAGTGGTCTGCGGTGATTAAAACTTAGTAATCCGACAAGTACGGGGCGAGATCGACTGCAAAGCACCCGGGCTGACGCTATTGAAACGGAAGGCCCTCGATCGTCTGCGGAAATGGAGCGATCACGAACTGGTGCATGTGGAGAGAGACTGGAACGGGAGCACTGACAGTCCGGCGAGTGCCGCTTTGCAACGACAAGGCGGGATCGAGGTTCAGAAAGGTCCCGGGTACCAGGATCTGGTCACTCTGAACCGGTTGGACGAGATCTTGATTCCCAGGACCGAGAACCCAGTGGTGCGAGTTGCAGAGCTTACCACCCGAGCTGCTCGAGTAAGATCATCTGCGAGGCCGTGCAAGAGGATCTGATCCGGGAAATGCGGGTCGATCGGATCAAGCAGGTCCAGGAGGAGGAAGTCTGGATCGCAGGCATGAAGAAGTATCTGAGTGGCTCGATCGCAGATCTCGCGCAAGCCGAAGCAAGATCGTATGGCAAGATCGCTGCTGACTATTAGGTAGACGAACAGGATCTACTCTTCTACTGCCCTCCCACTCCGAGATCGGGGGATGATCGCGATCGGTTGCTGAGATTGGTAGTTCCCGAAACACTACAATCGGACGTCTTACATCATTATCACACTACGTTGGAAGGAGGACATCAGGGAGGGGGGCGAACCTACCAGCGGATCAGGGATCATTTCCATTGGAGAGGATTATATCGGAGCGTTCAGCAATATGTGGGGGAATGTGTGGATTGTGAAACGGGAAAAGGAAAACCGGTGATCCGAGGTGAATCATCAGGGAACTTGCAGGCGACATACCTGTTCCAGATCATTGCCATGGAGCATATACCGTCGCTGCCCAGATCCCACAAGGGGAACACTGAATTATTGATCTGGGTCGATCTGTTCACAGGATATGTGATCGCGAAAGCCAGCTCGTCCCGATCGGTCCAGACGGTTGCGGAATCGTACGAAGAGTGTGTATTTCGGCGATTTTGTGCCAGTGAGATGGTCCACATATCGAGAACCCGGTTTCATGTCCGATTTCTTCCTGGCGTTTAACCAGATCTTGGGACAACGGCAGCGAGCGACGATGGCATATCGTCCACAGGCTAACGGGACTGCTGAGAGAATGGTGCAGACCGCGATCAGAGCGCTCAAGATGTACGTCCGCGATCTTGATCAGAAGGATTGGGACAAATATGCTGAGCGCCTCACCTTCGCGATCAACACGGCTCACGATCGAATCCGAGGGGATACCCATCACTATCTAGTGCTTAGGTGGGATCCGAGATCGACGCTGGAGGCTGCACTGCCAGTCGGATGTACCAGACGGCGCGATCAAGACGCGCGGCGTTGGCGTTATCAGGTCCAGCAATATTATCAGCAGTCCCGAGAGCAAGTCAACGCTAGATTGAAGGAAGCCATCGCAGATCGGGCCGGCTGACACAACGAGGACGTCTGATGGCACCAGGTCAAGGCGGGATCTCGCGTCTGGTTATACCTGGACCGGGTGAAGGAAGGATATGCGCGGAAATTGGCTCACCTGTGGCATGGGCCATTCCGGGTGGCTGAAAAGGTCAACGGATTCAGCATCAAGCTCGAGATAGCGGGTACTGGGTACCAGATCTTCCCAGTGGTTCATGTGTCTAAGCTGAAATTGGTCAAGGATTTTCCGGATCGGCCGCGAGTAGAACTCACTGTAAACGAATTAGATCGCCTCTATTTCGATGAGATCCTGCTTCCGGAGGACAGCTGGGTCCCAGATCTCGGGGCCGATGAGTACGAAGTCGAACGGATCTCGGATGTGCGGAGTGGGAAGAAGACGCGATTTGGTCGGATCTACCGATAATTCCTGATGCATTGGGCAGGATATGACGAACCGACCTGGGTCGACGAGGCCGATCTCAACTGCGGGGCAATACTGAACACCTTCCTGCAAGAACGGGCGAATCGAAACCGCTTCAATGTGATGCAATCACATGAGGAGATGTAAGGAGGCCGGGGTGAGATTATCTGATCGTCTCGACCCCGAGGAAGGGTAAGTCGGATGAGACTGAGATCAGAAGTTCATGCTGTATATGTGCATTTTGGAAAGGTCGACCATCACAAGGGATCGCGAAAGGCGTGGTGCGTCTGAAGAGAGATCACTTAGGAGGAACGACAAAACGAGCAAACAGGCAGAGATGTGGCTGAAATTGAGAATTACGGTAAAGAGGAATCGCGATCGCGGGATAAAGAGTGGGGATCACGGAAGTTGTCGTCGAGTTGAAGCTAGATCGACGATCAAGGAGCCGCTGGAGGGTTGAACTTGTTCACGAGACGAGGGATCTGCAGCGATGGGTGAGTGGAACCGGGATCGTGATAATGGTTTCTCCAAGGACCCGCCTGATCATACTCTAACAGGGCCGTGACCAGGTCGGTCGGCTCAGGGAGATTCGCCGTCGGCTGCGCAAGGTTGGCCGCACGGGAGACCGATCCGAGGTACCAGCGTACCCAATCCCGGGTAGTGGGTAGGTGGAGGAAATAGGGATCCAGCAGGACGTCGATATCGGCCCACGGACCCCTCATCATTAGGAGGCACTCTCCCAACAGTTTCTGCCAACTTTCTCCAACGCGGATGCGTCGCTGACGCCGATCCTGGTGGTAGGTGAAGAGATCAGAGTTCTCGGCGGCCGTCGCTTTCGTGATCGCGAGGTAATGGGTCGATTCCTAATACGCGATCAGGTGATCCTCCTCCAGGGCGGCATACGATACGGCGATCCGCAATAGATGGGTCCAAGCTCGCCGGTGCAGGTTGTGATCGAAAGTCAGCGGAGTGGGGCGACGCTGTCCAAGCAGGCGCCACGAGTGGGTTTGCGCGAGAGCGCTAAATATACCTCCTAGTCCTCGTTCGTGGCTAGGGAGGTTTCTTAAGGGTTGATCGAAGGCAACCCGGGGTACACAGAGGCTAGTGCAACCCGGTGTAAGGGATCATTCCTGGTCTTCAGGTATTGATCCAACAGTCGCATTCCTTTACAGGGAAGCAGGTGTTGTTGCTAGGAACTCACCCGAACGTGAGAATTCTATCGTGTCCTACATGACACAGAGCTCGAGTTGGACAACACGGAGGTGATATCCGTCTGGGTTGTAACCTCTGAAACCGGAGGGGGCGACGCAACCGGAGTTAAAGACGCGGGAATTGATGGAAGAGAAGATGTTAGGGCCGCAATTCGAGAGTTCAGATTAGAGATGCGGGCTTCGGCTTGGGTCTGAGCGTCCTGGTACGCAGCGGCTTCGTCGGCCGTAGTTTGACAGAGGTTGTCGTACTGCGTCTTCCACTCGGTTGCACGCGCAGCATGGGCTCGGAGCCCCACATTTTCATCCCGCAATTCGCGTAGAGTCTGATCACGCGTCTCAACATCACGGCTAAGACGATCGACGGCGTCGAGACCAATGTTGTAGCCCTCCCGGGCGCGATCCCACAAAACGTCCAGCTCCTCGTGAAGCACGGACGCATGGGCCGCCAGACCGGCATTCAGAGTCGTCGTCAGCTCTAGGTGAGACCGTAGTACGTGGGCGTCATGCTCCAGAGCAGTGGCGTCCTGGACAAGCGTCTACTGACGGAATGGGGTCACCGACGGCAGGTACCTGAACCGAAGGCGGCGGAGGAATGGACGGACGCTCCAATCCAGTAGCGCATACCGCTCAACGATTTGAGAAGAAGTCGTCAGGGCCTAGTTCGCGCGTGGACTCGTCGGAGCTAGAATCACTAGCCGCATACGACCCGTATGGGGTTCCACCAGCGTTGGACCCGCGTTGAGACTCGTCGGAGTCCGACATTGACTGGAGGACGAGGTCAAGGGAACGAGAGCGAGGTATTAGCGTGTGCCGAACGTAATGGGTTCCGCTATTACCCACTCACCTGGGGAGTGCGCGTGAATACCGGCGGGACGGATGTGGTAGAGTGCTCCAGGAATGTCCGGCAGCACGATGTGGCAGTTGGAGATCGACACGAGCGAGTGACGGGAAAGGACCGGCAATGGATGAGCTATCTGATTATCTGAGTCGCCTCAGATGGTCATAGAAGGATGACACCGCAAACTAGTGACGCCGTTTCAGACCTCGATCTAGTCCTACGACGGACCCCGATCTAGCCCCAGATCGGGCCCGATCTAGCTCTGCCACGGACCTCGATCTAGGCCACGACGGACCCCGATCCAGCCGATCCGCGGCCCATATCATGACTCAGGTCGAGGTATCACAGGATTAGGGTTGCAGTGGGTGCAACCGTTAGACGAACTATGCAGGAAGGAAGCCGGTGCATAGGATAGACAGGATAGGATCAGTTCCAAATATTCTTGGTTGTGCAAAAGTCTCCCTAAGCTACTGGCCTGACAGGAACCCCAAGTCTTCTTCGCGCGTCTACGTCTGAAGACCCTCCAGCGCTCGGCAAGTAGAGTCTCGATAAGTGCGGCTCCCGACGTCGGGATTGGTTGGTGTACTCATCCCTAACATCCCGTGCCCGTAGTGAGGGATAAGTAAAAGAATACCGTCGAAGCGTCCTCCGATAACAGGACGCGGGCTACGAAGAACGCGTGGTGGCCCGATAACGCCCCACAACCCCTTGGAAACGCCGGCCCGATAACGCCGCACGACCACGGACAAAACCCCACGACTAAAGGTGAACAAGGCCGGAAGTCGTAGTCAGAAGTGACACACGTATATTAAGAAAACACACCGCAACGACAAGACTATACTCTAGCTACATCTCCACCCTGACCTGAGATACGCTGCTACAAGTCCCGGGGAAATACCTGACGCAGCCATCGATTCGGCCGCATCAGGTTTGGGTGAGGGCAAGCTTACACGAAAACGTGAGCCCGCTACTCCACATTCACTTTGATGAATGGTAGTTTACATGGTAGTTTACCAACAAACACGAGTACATTACGAGTTCAAATTGAACGTATTGAAAACGAAGTCATGAGCAGAAAAATATTGAACAGTACACATTGCTCGCAATATCGTACATCAACATTCGAACCTGAAAGAACACCACAAGGTTTTATCCTGGTAGTTGCAAGCTAGTTTTACTGAGGCAGAATAAAAGTCGTGTTTAGCTATGGTAATTGGTTCTTCCTCATTTCTTGTGCTTGCTAACAAACACTGAGTAGGTCTTAAATTTAAAATCCACCAACTGTGATCTCAATACTTTCGGCGAAACAGATAAGGTTCCCGACAATCCTAGATTATAACGTCTTGATTGAGACTACCAAACGTGATCGAGAGAAAACTAATGACTTTTCAATGCACCGTAACGACGTCAGTAACATAATAGAGAAGTAAAGTACATTGTCTTACTTGTGGACTCGGCTACATACATCCAATAAAAGTCGAAGTAGGTGAAACATCCAGATGGACTGTCGTGTAGGACACGATAGAATTATCACTTTCGGGTAAGTTCCTACCAACAACACACGCTTCCCCGCAAATGTAAGCGATTGTTGGATCAATACCTGAAGACCAGGAACGATCCCTTACACCGGGTTGGTCTACCCTCTGTATACCCCGGGTTGTCTTTGTGGCGAAGCGGAATCCGTGAAAATCTTGTGATCGCGGTTCCCGATACCACTAGCGCCCGGACACCGACTAACGAAGGGGGTCCTCCGATGATCCGTGATCTGGCTTGTGTCTTGAAGTATAATATAGCGGTTTCGCGCAAACCCACTGCAGTCCCTCAGAAAGAAGGGTACCGGACTTAACAGACCTGACACAGGGACCCCGAGGAAAACCTTAACTGGAAGTCTAATACGTGTGAGAACCTTCGGTCAACACACAAACACACAGCCCGAGCCTTATTTGTCGCTCTATACACGACCACTCTCTCCTCTTGGCCATGCCTTAGCAGGTAGACTCTCCGTCAAAGTACTTTAAGTCTATCAGCAGACATCCACACAACTAGGCGTATCTAGGCCCTTAGATAAACTAACTACACTTACCGAAGACGGACTTGTCCCTTGTTAGCTGAGGGAGAACTGCTTTTTATTACTGAATAATATAGGGCTCTGAGAGCCCCTCTACACTTATCATACATGTATAATGAGTCCGATACCACATTATACAAATATCAAGTATAAACGAATCTTCCTGGGACACCCTCTGGTCGTACTTGTGTGGCGACCGAGACTTCGCGTAGGTGCGATACCAACATTCTCGTCCAAGACCTCGGCCGAAATCATGGGTACAAAGTCCTCAAATTAGCCTAATTCAGAGGGCCTCGGTTAGGTTATATTAGGATAACCGAAGCCTTGAATAGCACTAAACAACGCTGTCCCCCCAATGCGGGGGATGTAATCCACCAATCAGAGTCCATAAGAGGCTTTCACCCGAAGCCTCTGTGACAGTTGGGTCGGTGATAGGGCACTTAGCGTTTCCCGAAACACATCACCACAACTACCCCCGGCT